GAATAAAACTCACTCCCAGGGGCTGGCTCTCAGCCCAATAGTAAACAAGATATACACTCAGACCACTCAACCCAGGGTGACACACCCACGTACTCTATGGAAATGCACCCCATGGAGCAATCGACCACAGGGCACTAGAGGGGCAACATTTGCATGGAGGAAAAGCAAGACACACAGAAGTGCATAACTATGAGGGATACAGGGGTGGGGGTAACTGGGCAGTTAGGGGAGAAGACTGGGGAAAAAAACAAAAAAAAGTGCAGCTGGAATGCTCTTTGGAAGCAAGAGCGGCCAGAGCTCGTCTCACCTACTTTGATCATGTTGTCAGAAAAGTCCATTCCCTGGAGAAGGATACTATGCTTGGTAAAGTAGACACTCAACAAAAAAGGGGAAGACCCTCAACAAGATGGATTGACACAGTGGCTGCAATGATGGGCTCAAGCATAGCAAGGATTGTGAGGCAGGCGCAGGGCTGGGCAGGGTTTTGTTTTGTTGTCCACAGGGTCGCTATGAGTCAGAGCTGACTTGGTGGCACCTAACAACAACAACAGAATAATTTGTATAGACAAAAACTTAACAAGGCATTTTATTTTAATTATAATTTTGAGGTGCAATTTAGTAACATGAGAACAATATTTCAGGTGGAGAAAGGTGTGGAAGAATCTTATAGACCGGAAAGGTCTCTGGACTGGGAATTTGGACTGAACTAAGCTCTCATGGCCTTGCATGGCCTTTGAAAGTTATAGCTCCTGAGCCTTGACATTTACACCTGCAAAAATGATTGATCCTGAAGGGCAGGGCTTTGAGGGTGGGGACCAGCAGCACTAAGTTCCCTTGTAACCTTCAAGAACTATGGAAAGAAATCAAAACATTAATCAAGAGCCCCATTCCTTCCAAGTCCTCCCTCTTACAACGATTAAGTCCTGGACATAACACAACAAATATAAGAAGTCTATGAAAGGTGGAAAGAAGGCCTCAGGACTTGAGGAACAAGGCAGTGAGTTCTTTGGGCTTCCTTATTGTATTGCCTCCATAAATCCAGGACAGGGCATTGCAGACAGAAACCTCCAACTCACAATCTCCAACAGTCACAGACAAAAAAAGACTCCAAGAAAAGCCTGTTCACATCAGGAAAAAGGAACAAATGAAAGAATACCCTTCTGAGAATACCCTCCGTATTCCAGCATGGTAATGCTAGAACAATAAGGATAATGGGAAAACCACACGTTCCTGGTTTAAGTGGGTATACTGCGGGGTTGATCCAAGATCCAACCCTACCTCTACCTTACCCCTATCCCACCCCTAGTCCATGTAAGCAAGTGGCATTGCTCTAATTCTTCTGCCCTACGAGATGAACAGACCTGAACTGGAAGCTGATCTTCCATCTTCTCAGTGGAAGCAGGCAACTCTGATTCCCCTGTAGTGTTGGTGGCGTCCAGTAGAGAAGTAAGTCCTCACCCCCATGCCCACCCAGGAGCATGAAAACTGAACAAAAGATGTGAGTTGGGTCTAGTCAGCATTGTTTCACCCCATCCCTGGTGTCTGCAGGGCCAGAGAGAACCTGAACCTTTAGCCTTACCCAGGGAGCTCTGGTAGCATAGTGGCTAAGACACTTGCCTGCTAACCAGACGGCTGGCGGTTCAAACCCACCAGCCACTCCTCGGAAGGAAGGTTGGGCAATCCTACTTCCGTAGTGATACTGCCTCGGAAACCCAAGGAGGGGTCGCTATGAGTCGGGGCCGACTCGACGGCACATAACAAAAACAAACAAAAAAGTATCAACCAGGTGAAGAAGGTGATAGGAGGCAGAGTTGTCAACATTTTGATTCCTTTTCCCCTGGTATGTGTACCCAGTGAGGAGCTAAGCTTACACCAGTCCTCAGAGGGAGACAGTGAGGCAGTGTGAGTCAGTTCTCCACTTTCACTGAGAAGTTGTCAGCAGGTCCCAGCCATATTCAGCCATCACACTATACCTCAATAGAGGGACTGCCTGTGTGTGTGTGTGTGTGTGTGTGTTTTAAAAGGATTAAATAAGATTTAGAGATGCGTAGTAGAATACTTAAAGTATCCAGGATATAACAGAAAATTACTCATCATACCAAGAAGCGTGAAAATCAGAACTTCAATGAGAAAAGACTATCAACAGATGCCAACAGTGAGATAAATAAGATGCTGAAATTATCTGAAAAGAATTTTAAAGCAGCCATAATAAAAATACTTCAATAATTATGAATTCACTTGAAACAAACAATAAAAACAGAAATCTCCACAAAGAAGTAAAAGTTATAAACAAAGAACCAAATGGAAATTACAGACTTTAAAAATGCAACTGAAATTCCAACAAACACACTGGGTAGACTCAATAGTAGAGATATCAGAGGTCAGTGAACTTCAGGATAGATCAATAGAATGTATCCAATCTGAACAGAGAAAATAGACTGAAAAACAATGAAGAGAGTCTGAAAGATCTGTGGGACAATTACAAAAGAGCTAAAATTTGTATCATTGGGGCCCTGGAACAAGATGAGAGAAAGAGTGGGACTGAAAAACTATTAGAAGAAATAATAGCTGGAATTTTTCCAAATTAGGCAAAGGACATAAAGTTGCAGATTCAAAAGGTTGATCAAACCCCAAGTAGGATAAACCCAAAGAAATTCACATCGAGACACATCATAAAGTTCCAAAAATTAAAGGCAATGAAGAAATCTTGAAATCAGCCAAAGGGAAATGACACATTACTTACAGTGGAGCAATATTTGAATAAGAGGATTTCTCATCTGAAACTATGGAATCCAGAGGGAACTGGCACAACCTACTTCAAGTTCTGAAAGAAAAGTGATGTTAACTGCAAATTCTATACCCAGTAAAAATATCTTTCAGGGATGAAGGGGCATTAAAGACATTCTCGGGCAGGAAAACTAAGAGAATTTGTTTCTAGCCAGCTTATCCTTAAAGAACAGCTAAAGAAAATTCTCTAAACAGAAAAAAATAACAGAAGAAGGGGTGGATGTTCAGGAAGGACAAAAGAATACCAGAGTTAGTAAAAATAGGGCAAATATGTTTGACTACCCTTCTGCTAGTTTCTTAAATCACATTTGATAGTTGAAGCAAAAAGTATACTACTGTCTGGTGTAGTGCTACAAGTACTTGGAGGAAATAATTGAGAAATATATTTCAAATGTTCAGAAGGTAAAGGGACTTAAATGGAAATAAGATTTCCACAATTCACCTGAAGTGGCAAAATGTCAATAGTAGTAGATTATGATAAATTATGAATGTATAGTATAATATCTATCAATCACTAGGAAACTATACAAAGCAATACACTAATAAACACTGTAACTAAATCAAGGTAGAAGCAAAAATGTTCAAGGAACGCATAGAAAAGTAAGAAATGAGAAGAACAGGAAACAGAAAACAATACAATGACAGATTTAAGGCCTAGCATCAACAATTACCTCAAGTGTAAATGGTCTAAATACATCGATTAAAAGACAGAGATTGGTACATAAAAATAAAACAAAAGAAAATATATGCTATCTTCAAATACATTATATACTTCAAATACAATGACCTGGGTAGGTATAAAGTAGAGTAAGGATGGGAAAATATACCATATAAACATTAATCAAACACATGCACACACATACACATACATGATTTTGCAGGAAAAAAAAAAAAGTTTCTTTCATTTAGGCTGAATCTCTTTAGTATAAATCTTTCTTCTTTTTAAATTTTTCCCTACCTCTTCCCCTCTTTCCTGTCACCTGTTACCTCTTCTCCCCTTCCCCCAACAGCCAGTGTATCCTCTCATACTTTTTCCCATGTGCTTATAACCTTATAAAAACACATACTCATTTAGAGATGTACATAAAAATGTGCATGAACATACATGGGAAAGTGTCATGGGTTTCCTCACCAATTTTTTTTTCCCCCAAAGAGGATCATTTTATAAAGACTTCTCTGTATTTTCCATTTCTTTCCCAATAATATTTTGGGAAAATTCCACTCAATAATGTGGAAAAAAAAAATCCCTTTATGCATAATTTATTCAACCATTATTTATTAATGATCATTAGCTCTGTTTTTAGTATTTTTCCCCCAAAGTAAATATGCTACAAACATCATTAAAAAACTAAAGCAAATAAACAGAAAAATCACAAACATTAAGAAGAGGTGTTGATTCTTAAAATATCACCTGGGAGCAGGGTCCCTGAGTTTAAAAAGCCTTAAACAAATGATAACGCCTGTGCCCATCTCACCTTGTCTGCCAAGAACAGTGGAGTGGCTCAGTCCTGTTTAACCATCTGGTCTTATAACACAAGAGGGAAAGCTCTGGGGCAGTGAGATTTGCTGAGCCCTAAGAACAGGGTGAGGAATTCTGGTGGTGTAGAGGTTAACACATTTGGCTGCTAGCCAAAAGATGGGGAGACTGCTTCCATGAAGATTTACAGCTTTGGAAACACAATGGGGGTCACTACGAGTCAGAATCGACTCAATGGTGGTGAGTTTGGTTTTGGTTTGGAAGAACAGGGTAACATCCTTCTTTTATTCCTCCCCTCCCCTCCCCTCCGCTCCCCTCCTTGTTAACTCTGTTTCCTGGACACTGGGTCCTTCAGGCACACCTAAGATACTGTTTAAAATATAGATTCCAGGGTCCCTACTGAATCAAACCTCTGAGCATGAGGCCCAGGCATCTGCTTTTACTATAAGCTCTGCAGGAGGGCACAGCCTCAACTCATCCCAGGGCTTTCTAGGAAAAGACGATAAACAAAGGTATGTTGGAGGGGCTCGAGGAGGTAGAATCTCCTGAAAAAGATTCACTGTCAAGGTCAGAAATTAATTCTGGTGCCACTAAGAATAAACCAAAATCCAAAATGGCTGAACGCTCCCACTGTTTTTCCTTTTATTGAACATCCTGATGAAGCCAACTGGTGACTCCATTTCCCCTAGAGGCCCACCATTGAAGCCTCCTTGGGGTGCCCCATGCCCAGGCCCCCCTAAAAGCACCTCCTCTGTACCACAGATGCCCCAAACTCCTTGAAATCCGCCACGGTGACCCACATCTGCTTGAAGCTGCTCAGTGAGGTGACGATGGAGGCTCCGATCCACGTGGAGAACCACCGGTCAGGGGGGGCCGTGATCTTGATGGGGATCCCCTTGGAAGCCAACTGCTCCAGCTCCCTCAGGAGTCGGTCATCGAGCCCGGGGAGCAGCGTGCTTCCCCCAGACAGCACGATCTCCCCAAAGAGCATCTTCTGGATTTCGGCATCACATTTCATGATGCTGCTGGAAACCATTTTGGGGAGTCCTGGGCTGTGCACTTCCAGCTGGTCAGGCACAAAGAGGGCCTCAGGGGCCTGGTAGAGCTGATGCCCAAGGTGGATGATGTTCCCATCTGGTAGCTTATACTCTTTTAGGACCTCCTCTGGCCTCTTGCACAGCTCCTTGTCTGGCTCCAAGGCCACATAGCACAGCTTCTCCTTGATATCGTTCACCAGGGCACTATACAGCATGCACGGAAAGGTGTGGCCACTGGCCAGGAGGAGCCGGGTGAGATGCTCTGTGATGTCCTTCCCTGCCACATAGAGCTTGGTGACCGCATGTGGCAGGGAGTAGCCCTCGAAGATGGGAACCGTGCAAGTGACACCATCCCCACTGTCCACCACCAGGCCTGTGACACAGGCAGAGGCATAGAGTGCCAACACTGCCTGGTCTGATAGGTAGAAGGCAGGCACGTTGAAGGTCTCAAACATGATCTCTGCCATCTTCTCACGGTTCTCCCGGAGGTTCAAGGATGGCTCGGTCATGAGCACGGGTCGGTCGCTGGGCTTCACACCCAGCTCCCACTCAAAAAGATGGTTCCAGAGCTTCTCTATGTCGTCCCAGCTTGTGATCAGGCCACGCTCAATGGGGTACTGCAGGTTTAAGTTCTCATACTTGTATAGCGCTTCCTCTCCCACAAAATAATTCTTCTGGTTGGCTCCAGCCGAAGACATCTTGAATTTTGGATGCCCCACGACAGTGCTGATGACATGGCGGGGTCCAATCTCTCCCGACAGGCCTGCCTTGCAGAGCCCAGACCCATTGTCGAAAATCACAGCTGGAGAATCTAATATGTGTGGATTCAGCATGTCTGCAGCATCCTCCTTGGGACGTCACGGAAAGAAAAGTAGCTCCCTCCTGGGCCACTCTATGACATCAGGTCTTCTGGAAGCTTTAAGGGCACAGGATTCTACAGCTCTTGGGATGTCTCCCAGGCAGGCTAGCAGGCTGTCCCCTAGGCCTCAAGACCCCTTATCCTTAGCCCACACATCTGCCCCCTTTCAGCAGTGAGGTCTGCTGAGGCCTTTTCAAGGATGGCTGTCCCCTATGTAACAATCTAGGCAAGGCAACCATTGTCCTCAGTGTGCCTCAGAGGAGCTTTCAGGGACAGGGCCTCTGAGTCATCAGCTCTCTCTGCATTGTGAGACTCAAACAGAGGAGGGCAAGCCACCTCACAGGCATCTTGATGAGCCCTGGATCCCAAGCAGAGGCCTAGCCTTAGGACCAACCAAGGCAGCCCAATGTGGGCCTGCCCCAGAGAGCTGCCCTCTCTGGCCAACGGAGTCATTGTTTGTGGGGTGAAGAAATACATTTCCCTGTGCTAACGGAGGGAGCTCTGGTGGCGCAGTGGCTAAGGCACTTGACTGCTAACCAGAAGGCTGGTTGTTCAAACCCACCAGCCACTCCTCAGAAGGAAGACTGGGCAATCTACTTCCTTAGTGATACCACCTCAGAAACCCAAGGAGGGGTCACTATGAGTCAGATCTGACTTGAGGGCAGTGAGTTTGGTTTTGGTTTTGTGCTAAGGGAAGGAACTAAACACCAATCACAGGTCCAGGCTGGAGTGGCGATGTTCTTGACCCAATAGCTGGAACTCAGAATATCCCTTTTGAATGCAGACCCCCTGTCCTTGGAGGCCAAGCTCCTCCAGGAAGTCCTAGGGGATTCCCCATTCCCCACGCCCTGCCTCAATAGCCCTGGCTCTCAATCACAGAGTAGACACCCAGCAAAGGCCTCCACACTGCTTGCCCTCTCCCAAGGTGCACATGTTCCTGCTCAGGCTGGAGGTTAGGGACCCCTCTTCCTGTCAGTAGACCTCTACATGCTGGCACAAGGCAGCATCCAGTGGCCTATGGTCCAGTGGCACTGTGGTTTCAAGACAGTCCCAGTTGAGCCAGATACTTCTTTGTGTGTCTGGCCTGTTGTGCAGTCAGGCCAAGTCCACAGCAATGTGTTCAGAAATCACCAGGTTATGATATGCTGAGGTCTGAGAGCAAGGAAGGAGGGGTGGAGTCCAGTCTGTTCCCATGAAGGGCTCCAGGCTCTCAGAGGTCCCTCACTAGGGCACACCAGGCATTTAGACCCTGGGCTTGTTTTCTGCTTGTTAAGAAATAGAAAGGAAGCTTTCTGGGAACAAGCTTATTTGATTTTTAGGAGGGCAGAGGTGGTCTTGGGAACATAGTATTTATCTGAATAGTTCCTCACCCTCTTATGTTCAGCATCATCCTTCAGTCCAGCTCCTTCCCTCATCCAGAAATTCTTTCCAGATCTCTTCCTTCCAGAACCCCTGGCATCCTCGCACCTGTGGCCCCCTCTATGTCATGCCTGCTCTTCTAAACCACTAGTACCAAAAAACAAAACCAAACTCACTGCCATCTAATTGATTTCAACTCATAGCAACCCCCATTGTGTTTCCGAGGTGGTAAATCTTTATGGAATTAGATTGCCCCATCTCCCTTCTGTGGAGTGGCTAGTGGGTTTGAACCACCAGCCTTCTAGTTTTAGCAGTCAAATGCATCAGGCACTGTGCCACCAGAGCTCCTTAAACCACCAGTAGGCATTATCAAAGTCGTGTGGTATAGACATGTGGTGCAGACCTATAGCAGAGTCATGTGGTATAGACACATGATATAGATGTAGAGTTTGAGGTTTAGACATGTGTTACAGAGAGATGGTATAGTCACATGTACAGATGTGTGGTACAGACAAGTGGTGATGTGAGGTATAGATGTGTGATATGGATGTGCTGTACAGGTATGTGGTATAGGCATGTGCTATAAACAAGTCATATGAATGCATAGTACAGACATATAGTAGTGTGTATAAACATGCAGTAAGACATGTGGTACATTGTGTCCACAGATGTTACACAGCCAAGAACCATTGTTAAATGTCACGGTGGGCACTTCTAAGATTTTAGGATCCAACATTTTGGGGAACATATGTCCTTGGCAGGCTGCTTTAGGGACTAGGTATGGTATTTTAGTTATCTAGTGCTACTATAAGAGTAATACCACAAGTGGATGGCTTTAACAAACAGTAATTTATTCCCTCACAGTTTCAGAGGCTAGAAGTCCAAACTCATACCAGCTCTAGGGGAAGGCTTTCTCTTTCTGTTGGTTTAGGGGGAAGGCCCTTGTCTCCTTTAATATTTGTGGGCCCAGTGTCCCTTAGAGATCTAATGTGTCTTGGTATCAATCTTCCTCTGGGTCTAGGAGGTTCTCAGCACAGGGACCCTGAGTCAAAAGGACATGTTCTGCTCCAAGTCCTTCTTTCTTGGTGGTTGTCAGGTCTCTCCTTCTCTGCTGGCTTCTCTCTCCTTTTATCTCTTGTAAGACAAAAGATGATGCAGGTTGCACCCCAGAAAGACTCCCCTTACATCGATTAGGGCTGTGACCTGAGTAAGGGTGTAGGTGAGGCATCCACACTAATCCCCTTAGAAATGATTGGCTGATCAAGTCAGATCACATCATAGAGGATGATTACATATATATAACTGCCAAACTACTGAGAATCATGGCCCAGCCAAGTTGACAGATATTTGGGGGGGAACACATTTCAATCCTGTTGACAGATAATAAGGAGGATGTGTGTGTTTTGAGGTTCCAGACTGCTTACGTCACAAGAGGCCCATGAACTTGGACCCTTAGGCTTTGCTAGTATGTTGTCATTGTTGCAAAACACTCCAAGCAGAATCAGCAGGAACATGCTCTTAAGGTTTCTAGACATGGGCCCTGAAAGTGGCCACCAATGAGAGGTAATATCACAATGCTGAGTGGAGGGGATTGTGTGTCAGTGGCATGCTCCTGGGTCATGAGCATATGGTTGTGCTCTGAGCATCCTGGGGCTGGCTGGGCATATTTGGCATTTGCACGAGGGAAAGAGGAGAGGAAGGAACACATGTTTAAGTAAAGCTTTGACTCGTTCAGCAGGGGCCACCCTGAGGCTCCATGCATCCTGTCCTATAACAACACACATGTTTGCCTTTCACCTGTGTCCATTCATACTGTACACGTCAACACCTGGCCCCATCCTCCCAGGCTGGCTCCTCCTCAACCTCCAAGTTAATCCCACCAGGACTGGGGCACGGAGCTCATTTGTTCTCAGCCCGTTATGGCCCCGTGAATTAGGTCCTCAGTGGTGCAAAATGTCAAGTGCTTGACTACTCACCAGAGGGTTGATGGTGTGAACCCATGCAGAGGTGCCTTGGAAGAAAGGCCTGACAATCTGCTTCTGAAAGGTCACAGCCAAGAGACTCCATGGAGCAATTCTACTCTTTAGCATATGGGTCACTGTAAGTCATAATCTATTTAATAGCAACAGGTTTTTATTTATGATGATGATGATGATGATTCTTGCTAGTTCCAGCTTGCCAGGACCCCTGGAGGCACAATGGTTAAGCACTCAGCTACTAGTTGAAAGGTTGGTGGTTTGAACCCAGTGGCTCTGCAGATGAAAGACTTGGCAGTCTACTTCTATAAAGATTACTGCCAAGAAAATCCTATGGGGCAGTTCTGCTCTGTCACATGGGGTCACGTGAGTTGGAATCAACACGATGGCAGCGAACAATCATAGGCCTAGTTTGCTGAGTACTCAGCCATGAAACTGGGCAAAGCCGGCTGAGTCTTTCCAGAATCTTCTTTCTTTAAGTGTTGTTCACTTTTCCTGGGTTTGGTACCCCAGCTCCCCAACACTCCAAGGCAGGCATAGCTGTTCCAAAAAATCCAAACCAAACTCCCAAACCAAATGCACTACTGTTGAGTAGATTTCTGAAGTGGTATCACCACAGAAGTAGATTGTCCAACCTTCCTTCCAAGGAGTAGCTGGTGGGTTTGAACCACCAGCCTTCTGGTTAGCAGTCAAATGCCTCAGGCATTACACCACCAGAGCTCCTAGGATGCCATAGTTGTTGTTGTTATGTGCCGTCGAGTCGGCCCCAACTCATAGCGACCCCTCTTTGGGTTGCTGAGGCAGTATCACTACAGAAGTAGATTGCCCAACCTTCCTTCCGAGGAGTGGCTATTGGGTTTAAACCACCAGCCTTCTGGTTAGCAGTCAAGTGCCTTAGGCACTATGCTACCAGAGCCCCTTGCCATAGCTGTTAAAGGACCACATGCCCAGCAGAATGGCCCCGGGAAGCAGTATCAATCAATTAGTTTTGTCTGCACGTGGAAGAAATAATCCCCAGTAATGAAGGGACCTGCCCACCCACCACCCCAGAGTCCCAATATCTGGGAAGAGGTTGGTCCTGTAGTCCCTTTCTGAGTTTGCTGTAGGGCCTTGGAGGCTCAAGGCCAAGGCCAAGCTCAGGGCCTGGCTTTGGGCTCCCCAAGGCTCTGTCCTCCTGACAATTGTCTAATTTGACTGAGGGTTGGTTCTATCCCATGGTCCTAGCCAGATGGAAGGAGGCAGCAGGACTCTCAAAGCTGCCCATTAAGACAGCATTGGTATTCTTGAGGGGGAGGAGGGTGGGGACACCATGTGGCCATGGAGAAAATCAGCCTGGTTTATGATCCACAGCCGACGTGATGTTGTGCCAGTTAGAGCTTCCCCCAGGGCAGAAATTTCACCCCGTGGTTCTCAGGTGCCTGGGAACAGCTGCCTCAACTCTCTGTCCCGGCCCACTCCCACCAAGCACTGGCATGAAACTCCCGCTACCCTAAGAACACCCCTGTGTCTGCTCAGCTCTGAGGGGCATGCTTATTTCAGGGTGGATGCCCTTTCAGCACCCACAGGTGTCCATCATCTTCTACATGGAAGGCAGGTGCCATGCAACAGAAGAAGCCAGTTCAGTGCTGGAGCTGTGGGT